ACAGCAGGCTTGTCGAATTGGTGTCCAGGGGGATAACCAGAAATCGTTACATGAAGAGTTGGTTTTTAAGATTCTTAGGGTCTGAAATGCGTCCCGACCCCTACGTCCCTATTGGTGTCTTTCCGCGAGAGAACATTATGCGTGAACCAACAACTTTGCGAGGTATTCAATTTTCAAATATTACTTCAATTAGATCCCCAATTCTCAAACCAGTGGCTTTAATATCTATGAACAATTACTCAATAATAACGTGAGCTTTTTTTTGCGCAAGCAATGATCAGTAATTTATTTTTCACCATGCTGGAAATACGAACTATACATACACAAATTGAAGAAAATATAAAAATCGCATTTCAGGGTGAAAGGAGACGCCGAAAACCAGTACTGGTTATCGAGCGACGGCACCCTTTCGTAACATCTCAACAATCATTGCGCGTTGAATGTCCGATCCTTCAATTTAACATATTTTAGATGTAATTTTTCGGGTAATAGATTAAATTTTCGCGGTACACTAGAATTATCTCACTACGCATAGTTTAGAAATCGATATTCCGTTCTAAATGTTTCAGTTACCCCAAAATAGCTGTTAATTATACTATTTTTGTAACAGTCTATTTTATTCACCTCAAAACCCGTTTATTTATTTAAACAAAGCCACAAAACAACATTAATTCAATTTTCCAGCCCAAATATTATTTTAGTTGTAAACTCTTCGGGCTATTGTCTTAAAATCTCGTAATATTTTAGGTCGTTGTCATGGTGATCGTGAAAAGAGAAACGAGTTTTTGCGTCGTGGGAATAAGCTTGCACGCTCGTGTTGCAGGATTATATAGTACGAAGGCTGGTTGCAAGACAATGCAATTGATATATATGTATTTTTACCCAAACTATTGATAAACTTAATGAATTAAAAAAAGATTTATCATATTCGACAATTAAACTGGCACATTCTATAGAAATGGCATCGCTGACATACGATAAAGGGTAAGATTTGTATTTTATCCCGAAAAGGGAGAAGACATAGACATAGAAACATGTCGATAGAAGCCTTGGTTTATCATGATATTAATACATTTACCGTGTTGGATATGAAAATTCACCCCCCGCAACCGCCCCGTTTAAAAATATAAATATATTGTTAAATATAGATGCCTTGTTTTACATATAATATTGTTCTTCAAAATTTTTCCATCACGACCCATTTGGCACGACTAAATATTTTCGCGACCTCCAGTAGTGCTCTCGAAGTATTCGTACCAAGATGGCGCCCAACCTGAATATAGTATGTGTACCAGGTTAGGGTTGTTCAGGTTGTGCGTCATCTCGGTACGACTACTTCCGGAGCGCCCTCCTGGGAACCAAAATAAAGTAAAATTTAATAATACCGAAAATATTAAGAAAAATAATTAAACTGACAATACTTTTAATAGGACCGATGTGCTTGCATATTTTCGCACAAAATATCGTATCTTGGCTGTAAATCGGTGATTATGGGTCTCAGTACTATTTCCAAATCTCTCAAATGTGATCAATATTTTGTTTTAACATAAGTTAGTGTCGAAAAACTATTTTACCGCGACCCCCATTGAGCCTATTCTCGACTCACCCGGGAGTCGGTACCCCCCGTTTGAAGATTCCTGTCCAATAGGATCATCTCATTTACACTTAGTCCGCTTTTGTGTTGGATCTCTTCATAACTTGATTTCTGCCTGAAAATGGATCATTATTGTAGTCTATTGAGCTTTTCCGATTATATAATAGGTTCACAAATTTGTCGTAATTTTGGCTCGCTTTTAGTTCCAGCTGGCGTTAATTTAGTTAGGCCGTTTAAACTATGCCGGCGTAGTTACCATGGTTAAAGAAGCATTATAAATGAAAATTCGTCAGAAATTGGACATAATTGGTATTAAGAAAATATAAAACTGTCGCAAGGAAAATTACGTCCGGTCGTCAATAGATTAAATGTTTGAGAAACTATAATTTACGGCAATATCGCGCTTTTATTTACCAAATAGAAAAATCGAATTGCTTTTAATGCGTGGTCACTGAATACCTGTCGTTGAAATGCTACCATAACATTAACTCACGGTAATTCGGTAGTTGTCACGTTTGCATTCATTCGATTGAACCGGGCCTTTGTCTCTAACGTGTAGTAACAAAAAAGGGCGCTACCATAGCGCGAGACCAGTACTATTGATTAATTAGTACTAACTTTAGCGTGAATAGGAAATCATACACTTATACCAGGAATTCTTATTGTTGACAAGCCATAATCAGTAATCGGTAGTTTATTTTACCCACCATACATAAAGTAAATTACACTAATTAATATAGTATGTAAAAAGAGGCGAAACTGGTAAGCCGAGGTGAAAAGGAGTCGCGAGAAACCAAGACTGGTTATCGAGCAGCGACACCCGTGAAAAAAACCTAACAGTAATTGATAATAGCATAAAAAAGTAGAAAAACTAGCAAAAGAATATAAGAAGAAATTACAAACGAGGCGACTTGGTTTTCCAGGAGGCGCCCGATACACAGAAACAAACAACGACTCCTAGCACCGATGTTCAAGTTACCATGGAAACTGCAGCAAGTGTGCAAGGCGACGACAAAGTATTACTCATTGCCATAATTTACAGCGATAACTTACAACTTCTCATGGACGATAGTTCCCCGCTTTTTTCTTGTCCAGGGGTACCAATTGGAACAACAGCCCATGAAATCGAACAGAAAATAATAACAAAACACAGGGAAACACTGAAAATATCGCAATAACTTGTGTTGGTGTTTACGCGTGGTGCTTTTTTGTTATTACGCATCAGAGATATAGACACTGTTCAACTATATGAATGCAAACTACCGAATTACCGTGAGTAAGCTATTCTGCATTGATCACGCCGGATACGACGATATAATTATATCTGATTGGATGAGTCGTTGATTCCCTATGGACATCATTGGAAGTAAAATTGCGTTGCATGGCTAGACGGTGGTGCGGTATAATGAGAATTAACTGAGACAAAGGCCGTAGGAATCGCATATTTAGATTTTGCTCGGTTGCGATTTGTAAGCAATTTTTCTGGCCGGTCAATTTTTTTGCTGATAAACTCAGATAACTTAATGTTTTTTTTTGTTTCTGTCGAAAATTTAACTTCGATTATCGAAAATAAAAGTCTTTCATTTTTATTCTGAAGAATTAAATATTTCTACTGCGGCTCCGGGAAGTTTTGAAATACGGCTCTGATCCTCCTTTATGATTATGGACATGTTGAACTCACAGACCGACGATTTACTACGCAAATGACATTCGAAAAAGAACCTCTAGTCTGGTCTGGTCGACACTCAACACCAGAGCATCGCTGGAATTTCAACGTGAGACAAATTCCGAAAAAAAGCCTTATAATTTATTTTTTCGCACCACAGTCTACCATGCAGTCACGACATAAGCTGACCATCGCGTGCCGCTCAATTTATAAAACGGCCTACTTTCGGTCAATATCCGAGTGACTTCGCTTTAATTGGATTAAAACTCACAAGTGTGATGGATAACACTTTGTCTCTGGTGAACCGTGCAGTACTTGTCACAGGGCAATGTCGAAGATAGTGATTAATTGTTTTGTGAGTAGAAACAGTTGTCATATTCGAACAGCAGTTTACGTCTACTTTTTTTTATCACTGGGTTGTTTTTTTCCAAACAAAAGAGCATGCTACAAATTAAATTCATTGCTGTATAGCAGTAGTTTCCAACCGGGGACTCGTGACCCCCAATGGGGCCACAGGGCAATTTAAGGGGTGCCACAATGCTAGAGGTAAAACCGATTTTCTTTCATCTTTGCGAGAAAACCTATACATTTCTTCCAAGTTTCGTTGATTGATAAGGTTATTTCACAGGGTGTTTTCCTTTGTTGAGAATGAATTGTTTGAACATAATGAGATTTGGGATCTACCAATCAAAATCACACTATAAATACCACTGGAATGATAAACAGACGGTCTATTAGTGCTAAAACATTTTGGAAAGAGGTCATGAGTAATAAAAGGCTAGAAACCATTGCTTTATAGTGTTTACAACTAACGGCCCAAAATGCGAATAGTACTCGTTGGTTATATATTTTGCTTTCGACCCATCGCCCAATTTTGAATAAAAATTGTGTTTCTTGTACTCCCATTCTATCTAATTACAAGTGCACGTCTGGGTGTAACTTATAGTCTTGAATAAAACTTCTTTGTTTGTGCCTTATCACGTACACTTCAAGTAAATGCAAAAAGGACATGAGAACCTGATACCCCTCATCTGGCATTTAAATCTCGATAAAACAAATAATAATAGTTGCAAACTGTATATTTATGGCATAAAATATTAAAATTAGTTCGGAATCAAGAAAAAATACAAAACACAGAGGGTTTAGTGTTAAAAACGGAATTCTCTTATTCACACAAATCGGAATGCAAGCCGTGGCCATGTATAGTACAAATTACATGATTATTTGTCAACCTTTTTCAAATTCATAATAGTGAAAATGTTAGAAATAATTCAGCTTTAATAGCATACATCAGGAGTGTGCAGCCTTCAGGAAGATATAGGAAGGCCAGATACAAATAACTGAGTGTAAACGCGGGCAACAACTTTATTTAACATAGACTTTCTGGTAGTTGCAGGAACAAATATTTTGGGTATTGATCTTATGACATGGGTTGTTCGCTTCCACAATTTAGCTGTTAGGGCATTGTAACGTCATAGATCATGATTTGGACTGGGATATATGCAAATTGATTGATATTAATCACATTTACCAGATTAAACTAACATAAAACATCGTTTCGCGGGTCGCACATTTTTTCTTTGAGACGGCATTTAACGCGGTCCGCAGGTTGCACACCACTGGCATGCATTGTTCAAGAAGCTGGCATTGCTGACGAGACTGTTACAGCGTGGGATCTGATGCCATATGTCGCATAAAAGCAGCGTATAGACCTCACGCTATTTTACTAACTCGAGGGGCCCGTGATGACTATACAGAGGGTCCGCAGTGATACGAAAAGAATCTGAAATATGTACAAATAGATCATAATTTCTTCGAATTGCCGTTAGCCTACCAGTATTTAATGTTAATATGTATTAATTCAGACTTTCATCAGTTTTATTTCATCAAAGCAAACATTATCATTCCTTGTTGGTTAAGAACAGAAATTGATACAACATAGGATGGGGATTCGTCAAAAATAAGATTCACAAACAGGGACCCGCGGCCCAAAAAATTTGGGAAACTCCGTACTAGCTCGTGGTAGATCTCACGACAAGAAGCTGAAGTGAACTATATTTGGGGTACGACTATCTAACCTATTTCATACATCATTTTTGAGACCATTTTGTGTTCACTGTCACGTTTTAACGACGAACATGCCATTCCAAAAAACAAGTAAAACTGCTGCATTCAGACGACATATTTAGGTCGAATACGCGTTGCCAAATAATAGACAGCTGGGGTAGAGTGATGAAATTGCAGATTTATGCAAATTAGAGAAAACCTAAAAAAAAGTACGTTTTGGAACAAAACAAAAACATCTCCATCAAGAAAATAACAAGAAAAGTAAAATCTCATTCAGAAATATTTACAAGGATTGTGCAAGAAAAGTTTTGCGAAATTAATAAAATAATCAATTTTTATTTGAAATAAATCAAGAGCAAAAAACCCACAATAATTAGGAACTTTTACTCGATTTTGGATTTTGAGGGCTTGCTTAATTTATATGTCACATCAGAACGACAGCTCAGTTATATGTCTAATCCAAAATCTAGGACCAGATAGCCCAGAGCCAGGAATGGGAAAAGTCAAATATGCCATGAAAGGAAATATATTTGCTCAAAGCAAGGCCATATGCACTTAATCAGGATCAAAGGAGACTCATTTCTGAATGTCCTACCACTGTAGCTGCACAAGATGTGCACACTGTCAGTCGAGTGCAATGTCAAAATTTGTCCTTGTGTGATTTGAAACATCCCATACCAAAGTGAAAATGAATGCAAATGCATTTAGATGTATAGAAGAAATGTTAACATGATACAAGTTAAATTTACAAATAATTTTTAACACTATTTATTACCCTGATTTCCAAATGCATAGTTCAATATGGCGCCATAAGAGTGCAAATATTTCTACCCTTTTAAATTTTTTTCAAATAATGATTCTCCGAGATAAAAATGACATTCTTTGGAAGATTACTAGTTGCTTGATGTGAAGATATATTTAGTGAGAATAAAAAAAATACAAAAATGTACAGACACATTGTTAATGGCAGACCACCGTCACTTAAACATACATAGCTCAAACTCAAAACCGCCAGAAAATAACTATGTGGTGTGGGGCATTTTTTTTACAAAAATAAAAAAATTTAGGCTATACCAACAGGACCCAGGCAGCCATGAGAAGAAGCCCCAAAATAATAATAGCTCAGATGTTACCTAATTATGTAATGTTTTATAGCTTATTGATTCATGAACACTGGACATGAAATGGAATTATCCACTGTTTTTCGGAAGTACCTTATTGTGGGACAAAATTGCTTTACTATCCGATATAAAAGTAGAACTATTATAAAATTATTGAAAGCCATTCTCAAATTCGATAAGCAGTTCCATTTCTTATATTTTCAATATATACCATAGATTTCTTGAGTGCAACTGTTATAATCAAAATTTAGCCGATTTAAAAAAATTCACCCTGGTGGAATTTATTAGAAATCAATTAGTATTAGATGTAATCAATATAACAGAAGAAAGAAGGGAAAGGGTTACACGATTTTAAACTTTTTTTAAAATTTTTCTGGGCCCAAAAAGGGTGTAGGTTTTACCCAAAATTTTGCCAATTTGAAAAATCTTCACACCAATTGGATTTCTTTACAATTGATTTCGTTAAGCAAGTGCTGAAATAGACAACGAAACAACCTTTTTTTCTACATATTTGAGCATTTTCTCTTGTTCAAAAATACATGATACATGCTTATATGTTTTACAAATTTGATTCATAAAATTGGTAATGAAAGTGATAAAAAGTAAAGAAATAGACACAATGATGAACAAAAAAAATATATTTGAACAAATTGTAAAGAATTTGGGTTATATATAGTTATATGCTTTGGTTTAAAATGGTTATAAAGCACCAAAATTCAAAGTCAATATATATAAATAAAATATTTTCAAAAGAATTTCATGAAAATAATGAAGACAGGAAAGCATATACACTGGTTTTGTATATTTTCAGAAACAAATTTTGTTTCATTTACCTCTGGGGGGGAGAGAAAAGCTGATAAGGTGGCTTAATCGTATGGTAAATGATGAACTTTTGGTTCACAATTCAGTCTGTGGAAGGAGACTATGGACTATAGCAGAGGTGGCAAACGAATGACCTGCAAAAAACTGACAAGGATTTTTAGGGGACCTGCAAAATAATGAATGAATGCACGAAATTCTACTTCAACAACTGACGTTTCTTTAGCAGTATTGAAGTTATGATGAAATGCTAGGTAAACAATTAATGACTGACGCTTTTTAACAGTAAATGCTAATAAAAAGTGTCGGCCTATACATGCTTAAGTAGCATTTCACCGTAACTCCAATACTTTTAAACGGTGTTATTCGGTTGTGGTTAACGGATACAAACAATTTTGACCTCTAATTGTCATCGCTAATAGAATCTACTGCCAGATTCAGGCATAACAATGTTCTTTGGTATATTTTGAAGATGGGCTGTGTGGGGAATAATTTAAACCCACTGTGAATTGTGGGTTATTTAAAAACAATTTCTATTTCTCCACCAACTGCAAAGTGGTTTGTCAAAATTTAGCTTCTGGTACCCTGATTTATCCATAACTTTATTTACTTTTAAGTTCAAAACCAGGTCTGTGAAACCGGGGACTCCACAACAAACGACGAACAAGCAATTGAAAAAAAAAACAGCTTTCATCTTTGACTCTCGACAGCACTGGTTTGGAAACTATCATACTTTGACCAATCTCAGTATAATGTGTAATTTGTGCATATTATGAAAATTTTAAAATGTTTTTTGACGAAGTTTAAACGTTTATCTATACTTTCACGATTTGATAATTGCTCTATGCTTTGTGACTTCTTCCGGTCTCATTGGCTGTTTCTGCTGGGCTTTGATTCGAGCTGAATTCACTGAGCTCGAGACTTCATGATAACACTGGAAGAAAGGGAAAAAACAGATTAAATATTTATTTCATTGTGATTTTTCACTTGTATTGCTGGACTCCTCGTTGTCGTAGGGTGGTTCAAGTAAGTAACTGCTGATCAGTTACCGCTTTCTCCATCATCCAGGTCTTGTATCTGAAACAACTAGCTAACACTCCAATATGCGACATGGTCTTAAAACCGGGCGAAGGGCGTGGTAATTGTGTTTTTGCTACTAAATGATAAATTATTCTTTTAATTATTTAAATGGAAGCGCATATCATTGCGAAAAGAATTTTGTTTTTCTTGTAGTTTTGTCCATGCATATGAAAGACTTTTTGCACAACGAAAGTGGGCCCCAAAAAGATGAAAGAGGTTGTGAACCACTGATGCTGCCAAAATACGGTCACCCCCTACATATTAGTTGTTGCTTGTCCACAACAGCGTTTAACAAACTGTGTTTCGCAGGACACTGCTGTTCCGTGAACTTCCATTGGGTACTCCCGAAGTATATGAACCAAGATGGCGGACATGAGAATGTGGTATGTGTACAAGGTTAGGGTTAGGCCATAATTTCAGGTACAAATGTTACGGGAGTCACTTGGCTAGTCCCCGAACTCGTAATAGAACTAAGATAGGGAAACTTGGAATAAAATTATGGCCTAACCCTAACCTAGTACACATACTACGTTCTGTTATCCGCCACATACTTCGGGAGTACCCTTTTCTGGAGCATTTTATGGTGCAGGGATTGAAATTACAATTAAATTGGTCGCCATGGCGAACTCGGTTGTACTTCAAGACTCTGGGTTGTGAATTTGTCTGCCAGCTGGCGACAAACAGGGTTCGTGCGAGTTCAAAAAGCATGGTATCTTCGCTAATTATTCAATATCGTTGATTTTCACCGTATTTTTGGCCTTATTTCTTGATTGTCAAGTTTATAGCAAACTTTTCAAATTTATAAGAGACAAAATTTTCTGGAAACCACACATCAATTTTACTTTCTAATTACTTGGTGTTCAGCGAGGCAAAAAAAGAAAATGGGGGGGGGGGGGAGATAACAGAGCAAAAAAGTTTGAGAAACGAAAAGCCAAGATGTGAAGATGCCTGAATACAAGCAAGTACCAACTTACCTTTAAACAAAACGGCAGGGCATTCAATTCGTAGATATTTTCATTTCCTTCAGGTGCTCTACGACATTTCTGTAAAAAAAAATTATCAAGTAAAATGATTCTATTTTCATAAAAATATGATGAAGGGAAGACAAGGGTGACTGTGGTAGCGTGGTTCACATAATCGCTGGCCGGTTACGGCTTCCTCCACCATCAAGTCTACGCATCTGAAAACAAATAACTACCTAATCCCATACCGACATGGACTGGTAACCAGACGAGAGGCTGTGGTGCGCCATATGATTAAGCCGTATTACGACTTTCCTTTCCCCCAAGATAAATATTTAAATCATCTCCTTCTATCTTAGTCGATCATTTTTATTCTTCTATACATTTTCGCCTTTATACTCCTAAATATTCATGTGTGCAAAAAAGTCATAAATTAAAAAACGAGAATATCGGTCAGAGACCGAAAACTTATCGATCGCAAGTTAGGGGATCACCCAAAACAGCGCTCTTACTCTATAGTGACACCTTGTGTCCCATCACTAATTAATTATTAACTCGCTAATTATACGACATGATTCATCCAAAATCAATAGGTTTCTGGTCCGACATATGATAAATGCAAATGCAAAATCTGGAGCAGATTCTATCTCGCTTTCGTGAGATATCGCGTGCATCTAACAGACAGACAGACAAATACCTATCAACATACTTACCGATTAAAATCGATAAGTAACAAGTTAACTCACCTGACACACAAAGCAGTTAGGATGCCAGAAGTTGGACATTGCTTCAATGTAGGATCCTGTTATTATGGTGTCACAACCATGGCAAGTACGTGCATGTAGGGTGAAAAAATCGTCTGAAAAGTTTAGAATTTTTATATACTTCGAATTCAGAAGCTGACATTATTTGCTTTTTCCCGCTGTTGACTCGAAAATATGATATAATGTTTGGTTCTAAGACCAGTCACTTGACATGAAAAAGTTCTTTAAGAATAAGTTACTTAAGTCGGCTCACTATTGTTCTTCATGGAAAATGAATCAGAATATACCTGAAATATTTCAGGACCTATTCCAAAGATGTTTTAATTATTTTTCAAATCATCAATTGTCGATTAGTTTCATGGTACAATAAATTGTGTATGAAATGCCAAGTCAGAAAGATTTCAAACCTTTCAAAATAAGTAATTATAATAAGTAAATAAGTAATTACTAACTCGGAGGTTTCCCACCAGGCGCCCGCGGCTCCCCAAGGGGCCACAGAGCAGTTGGAGAGGGCCACAATGTTGGGAGCAAAACTGATTTTACTTTTCACTTTACAAAAAAAACTCCTCATTCTTCCTAGTTACATTGCATGATAAGGTAACTTCACTGTTTTTTTACTTTGTTGAGCATGGATTGTTTGAACATAATAGGATTTGAAAGATACCAATCAAAATAACACTTTAAATACCCCTGAAATGATAAACAAGGGGCGCCACGAGTGCTAAAAATGTCTGGATATGGACCACGAGCCATGAAAGATTGGAAACCCCTGTAGTAAGTCTTTGAATGTCAATGGCTGCTTCCTATACCTAGTTTAGAGTGAAAGTGTGGATATGCCTCATATGGAGAACGTAACTTGAATACATCCCTCAACAAATGCTTGTGACTATTTGTTCACAGTTATATATTTATCCTGAACTGAAAACGTGGAACAAGCGAAAGATGACAATTTTGAGACATCGGCATTAGCATTGCTTTGTAGGGGAATATGTATTTATCCTGTCAAGAACTGTTTATACTGAGTCTTACAGACATTTCAGTCCACACATGTTTCAAACTAGACATTTCGGCCCCAATAGAATCCATTGCGAGGATAAGTTTATCAACAATGTGCCATGCTTGATCGCAATGATGAAATATTTCACCTGGGTCGAAACGCCTGGTCTGTAAAGTTGACAAAACGTCTGTATAAGGTTTACACTTACCAAGACAATATGGCATTCCGTCTTTAACAATATACGAGTCCATCAATGGATTGTTACAGTGACAGCATCTGAAGGAAAAATAATATATTATGAGAGTTTAGAAATTGAAGGCCTGAGTGTAATAATATTCCAAGTAAAATGGGATTAAGGTAAGTTGTTAAATTGGGAATATCTAAAATAAAAGTAAAACACTAGTAGAGTTTAGAAACTTGAGGGTATGATTGTAAAACTCTTTCAAATAACATGAGACTAAGTAATAAGTTAGCTATTTTTTGGTCATAATGACTGTTTCAAGGTCCACACAAATGGCATTAGCTGGAACGAAAAGCACCATCATGAATTTATCAGTTTGAGTAGCTTTTGACATTCCAACACCTGATTGTAATGCTCAGAGACGATTCTCCTTTACTTCTGAGTGAGGCTGCACAACGCACTACTGTGATTAAACTTATCTTGAGCTAATAAATTCAAAAACTATGAAAAGCCTTACAATTTTTGGTAAAACATGCATCAAATGATAATTTCAAGAGCAAGGTCAAGAGCACTCATTCATTGCGGTGACATAATGGAAATTACCTGAAATGCTTCAGATGCCAGTGTCTTCCAAGAGCCTGTGAATACAAAAATATAGATAATTATTAAGTTTCAATTTTAATAGTGATGTCAAGAGTTGTGAGTCAATCAGTTTGCAAGTTAAATGAGAATGGGATTTAATATTATACAAGTGGGCTACAACAACCAGGTGAGTAAGGAAAGAATCTGTTAGTGATAGACTAACTACTGTAACATTACCATGTTGAATTTTGTTAACCATAAAATCATCAAATCAGGTAGAAAAAAATTATTGATAGAAAATTTATAAAAAGCAAAACCCAGTCAAAGAATTATTCGCTCTTAAAAAGCAGCTTGCTGTTTCTTCATATTATACCTTAAGGAAAAGATTTTTCTCACAGAAATCATTTCGCAGAAGTTGTTACGATATTTTGTGATCTACTCCCAGGTAGATTATGTGGGCAACAAACTGTGTGGTAGGCATAACACTATGGATATTAATTTCTCTAACTCTTGGCCACAGAAGAATTCTTCCTATACTTTACTACAGCAAAATTTTGGATGCTTATTTAAATAGTGTTTTGGGGAGTTGGCACTTGTAAACTGATTTACCTGCTCAAAGCCATAATTTTTAATAAAATATACAACAACGTACCGCTGACATGTACTGATAGTTAATTTTAGTCCATCACATCTTTTCCGGAACAAATTTTTCATTATTGCAACTAAACTTAGGCTCACCGGAAGACATAATGAAAATTGAAATACTTCATTCATAACTAATTTTTGGAACAGAAATAAAAACGAACGAAATGTCTGAGCAGCTGCAAATATTACAATTGTTACATCATCGTTGACTTTTTGCTGATTCGTCATTGTTATGGAAATAAACAAAGAAATTCTTGCTCGAGGAAACATACATAGTAGCAACTTGCACAGTTTTGTTTACCTTAATATATCCTTGATCAGGTCTTATTTTATCTCCACAGTTGCTGCATGTTGTTCCAAACCATTTGGATCGTTCTGCTAAGGCTGAAGGAAGAACCTGGAAATAAAAGAATAACTTAGATGGCATTAAATCTTATACATTACTTTTCCTTGTAGTTCTGACCAAGTGCGTTCAAAATGAATCAAATATTTGATTATGGGTAAATTAATCGAATCTGACCTGGTACTATTCAGTTTGTGAATAAAACTAAAAAAAAATTAAGCTTAGCTAAACACGGTGATAATTTTATATGACGTTTCTATGCCTTCACTCCCAACAAGGCAAGCAGCCACAAGCAAGCAGTCACTGATTTTGACTTTAAAAAACTTTTTCATCATTTAAAATTACCTCATAAAGTCTCTGTTTCTTTTCACTTTTTTCAATCCTATGTCTTCCAGTGTCATTATTAATGCAGGGAGATAACTGAGATCTCTGGACCTCAGACCATGCAGCAGTGTTGACTAGAATTTGCCCGCCTGTGAAAGGACGCAAGTATTAAATTAATAATTATATCTAAAATAAAAATGACATTGATAGATTTATAAGCTGTTTTGCACACTCTCTTCATATACAGTTCTAGGTAAACAATCACTGGTGTGTAGGAAGCAAAATGCTTCAATATGACGGACCGGAGCAAACGGCCAGTGCCTAGTAGTAAGATTCATATGTTGGAGAGAGAATTATGATAATCATCTTTGTAAATATGAGCGTTGGCAGAAATATAATATTATAAGGTATATTTTTGCTGTAGATGATTTAGCACACTGGCTTCAATATAATTCATATTTAAATATATTTTATTGGGTACTCCCGAAGTATGATGGCGGACACCGGAACGTAGTACGTGTACCAGGTTAGGGTTAGGCCATAATTTCATTTCAATTTTCCTTATTTTAGTTCTATTACAAGTTCGGGAACTAGCGAAGTGACCCCTGTAGTATCTGTACCTGAAATTATGGCTAAGCCCTAACCTGGTACACATACTACGTTCGGGTGTCCGCCATCTTGGTTAACATACTTCGGGAGTACCTTTTTTTAAATGTACTCAAAATGGAAGATTATTTTGTTTTAGTGGTCCCTTTTTTAAAATGCGTCAGTAGAAAGATTTAGTCCTTTAAAAAAGTCAATTACAACATAGAATATGCAAATAAATAAATGAGTCTGATAAATACTCAATGAGTATTAGTATAAATGATGCACAAGAATTGATTAGTTATTTATAATACAAAAGACTCGACTGCTGTATTAAACCTTAGATAAGAGATTAATATTCAAATATATATTATGGACATGAGGTTAAATGACCAATATGGCCACCACATTCTCAGCCAAATTCCAACTGAAGAATCTACTGAATGTCCTTTGAAATGTTAAAAAAATTGTATTGAAAGGAAATATCAAGTAAAACTCAGAGAATAAGGAAATGCAAAATAAATAAAAATGAAAGTCTTTTTGTCACACCTACCATTTTCTTAAGTCTTAAAAACAATTCCTCATTCACATCTTAGAAAATTTTGATCCTTATTCTTGATTGGAAAGTTGATTGAAAACAAGGCTTCAAATCTATTACCGACGCTCTACTAGAATTATGTGTACCAATATGGAGGTAACTAATTTTGTTCGCCTACTTTACATCAAGTTGTGTAAAGGGACGGAAGCCTATGAGCAGGGGGTGTATTCACTTGGCTAACACAAACAGTCCCCACACTCGTAATATAACTAAAGTAAGGAAAATCGGAAAAAAATTAGGGCCTGACCCCAACCTGGTACACATACTCCAGGAGTACCCTATTACCAGCAAAACATCAAATGCCAACACCCTCCTTCTATCCTTAGTCACCTACAGAATTTGAAGAAAACAAAAATACCTTTAGCAAGTTTAGCAATTCCTACAGCAATATCAAGTTCATTTCCAGAGTATTTTGTTCTGGCTGCGGCAAAATCATAATCTGCATCAACTTTACCTCTGAAAACAGAATGAAAAATATTTTGACATAAAAACAGTATGAATGCTCTTTCCTAATCATCGCTATAAACTGGACAGATACTGGGACAAAAAAAGAACTCCCAGCCTTAGAAATTAATGTGCCATAGCTGCTAGAAAACTAATGTCAGTTCATTGCAGTGAATTTTGGCAAAAAAAGGAAATTAACAAGTTCCCACTAGCAGCAATGGAAGTTCACTATCTGGACTACTAGGGCACGTAACAGAAAAGCAATCGAAGAAATGCTTATATAAAGAATTCTGCATTAGCTGATAAAATTTATGTTAATTAGTCAGGATTGTTTCACAGCAAAATTTACAATTACTCAATGTTCAGTATTCGAAAATATTATGTTTGAATGGGACGTCCTGAAGTATGCGCACCAAGATGGCGCACAACCTGAACTCAGATTGTGTACCAGGTTAGGGTACAGGTTGTGGGACATCTTGGTGCGCATACTTCCGGAGTACATTTGAATGTTTTTAGAATAGTAGAATATATGTTTTTGGCCATCCCTGTTTCTCAACCTATGAGTCACCTGTTTTTCCAACAATATTATTTTTAGTACCGTAATTTTTTTGGTTTATTTTATATTGGGTATATTGTAGTATTGCTCAATCGTTATTTTAAACGTGGGAAATATCACAGCATAAAACTTGGCAGCCTATATTTTGCAATAAGTGAACCCACGCCACCATTTCAAAAACTCGCTGATTGCAAACACGCGCAACTTACTAACTAGAAATTAATTTCTGTTGAAATAAATATTATGTAAAAATGAATGTGTTGAGGTAGCCATTTAATTTCAGTATGCAAAAATATCCTTGGGTTGCGAGATTTCACATAATTTATTTTTATTTGAGTCGCTTGAAAAAGGGTTTGGGAACCACTGCTTTAACCCATTTTCAAAAAATCTAAGGAAATTAACAGCTAAATCATCAATCTACCTTGTTACACCAACTTGTATCCTTGGCCCACTAAAGACCAATGTTCTACCAGCAAGCCCTCTTGGTTCTTCCACCCTGGTACAAGCCGGACAGGCCATTACTGATTCTGACCATTTAGTGGCAACAAACGCAGTTTGAATTGTCAGGCAGCTGAAAGAAATAAAAGTCAAATTATTTCAAAGGTTCAAAATATACTTTTTAAACAAGAACTTCTAAATTCATGCAAAGTCCTTTTTACGAAAATTTATCCTCCATCCTCCCAAAGGTCTATTCACATTGAAAAAAATGGTTCTCACACAGAAATTTAAAAACTCACTCTCGCAAGTCTATTTGAAAATTGATTTTGGCATAATAAAAAAATCAAACTTCTTGCAAACAAATTAGCACAAAAACACATTGTTCCAGTGCACTGTTCCCTTATCTGTTATTAAAATCAACTATTGTTTCGATGGCATAAAATGGTTTTCAAGAGAAGATAAAACACCTGATAAGTTGTCTTTATCAAATGAGAAATAACATCTTCTTGTTTGGTTAGCAGTGCCATTTGAATGTAGAACAGCTGCCTACTTAATTCTACATGATGCATGGACTGGTGTGTCTCAAAAATACATTGTCCCACATTTTTTCCTAATTGAATGAATCTCACTTCATAGGCATTGTATGAATTGTTGAAAAGTTTGCGCCAAGTGGGACATGACATTTTTGCGACACTGGCTTGATTGGGTTAACTTACCAGTTCAAAGCATCCCATGGTTGTTGGAAAACCATCAACGCTTGATCTTCATGAGACGACACATGAAATCCGTGAAAATCTCGGACACATCTTGCAAGTACTTCAGTGTATGTTGATAAAGACTGAAAATAAGATTTGATTTGATTTTTACATTTAAATTAGAGGAAAGGAAAGCCAATTAATGGCTAATCAAATCTGTCTGAGGAAGACTTACTTGAGATGAACTGTTATTGGGTAGTGTGACTCTTGAATAATTTAGAATGACTATAAATAAATTGGAATAGACTGAAGTACGTTTTTTGTATGTTTTATGTGTTTTCCACACCTTCGTTCCGAGCAAGACTTCAAGTATCCTATTCTATATATCAGGGGTGGCAAATTTTTTAGTATAAGAGCTGCATGCAGCAAGTCAGAAATATGGGAGATCCGCATAATTTTTGAAATGAATATAGAATATCATGAACTGAAAAGAACTTTAAACAAACATATGAAAATAATATTGCAAAGTATATATTCTTCAATCGCTTAATGAATTAAAAAAACTGTTACGCTACAGTTCCTCTTAGTTAAAAGTTGCATTGGGATAATATATTATTATTCCCAGCGAAAAAAGCCGCATAAAAACTCCGGCGAGCCGCGGTTTGCCCTCCGTTGCTATATAAGGTGCTGGCGTGCTGCTATAATTGGTCAGATTGAATCAGAAATTGTGTCTCCCATTGATGTTGCTACAGATTACAAAACTATGTTAGTGCTTTGGTCGTGCCCTTTTTTAAAGAAGTGAAGGATATAAAAATTGAATGGGATATTCTGGTACTAGAATTTTGGTCTGACAAAACATTACATAATGACATTTGCAAAAGTTCTATTTTAGGAATATTTTCCAAAATTTCTCACACAATTCATTACCTAGCAACAACATCTTGTGTACATTTTCTCCATACTTCCTCAATTCCATTCATTGCGTAACGAAACCCACGGTAACAATCCCTGTTGGTCCTCTTCCTTTTGACGTCAGCGGTGATGCTTGACCCTAAAAAATAAACAATTTGTAAGATCAGATTTCAGAAAGTCAAACAAGAAAAGGAAGGGCAATTACTTTTTGGGGTTCAGCTAAGAATTTGGAAATCGTTTAAGGACTTTTCCTGTGGTTCCAAGGTTGGCACATTTTGCTGAGCAACAAGAACTTGTTTGACGTTATACCGCAATTTAGAAATAATCTAGACCAGGGTGGTCCAAACCCGCCGCTTTATTATCTGTGGCCTGTGTCACATTCGGAGACTAATCAAAAAATCGCGTTTCGTGTTGTTTCGTGATAAAATTAATCAGAAAAATCTTTTGACATATTGTTACATCACTAATGTCACTAAATTGACTAGTGTTATGGCTAGCCGAGGCAAATAGCAAAGTTGGATGGGCAGTCTAAATTATTATCTGGCTTTCAATCTTTTTGGTCGGAAATATATGCTAACAATAAAGCATCATAGAAAACTAAAAATCGAATGCGGATTCTATTAGCCTGGGATGGCTATGTGTGATAACTATGTGTTTGCACAATAAAAGTGTTTGTTTTGTATTGCACTGTTTACCTATCCTTGGCACTATTGTGGCCCGCGAACAATGAAAAAATAATTATGTGGCCCACGAGGCCGACAACTTTAAACCACCCTGATCTAGACCACCGATTCTCAACCAATGGGCCACAGCCCACTACTGGGCCACAGAAACATTTTCAGGTAGGCCATAGACCTATTAAAAATTGGGTGCTCCCGAAGTATGCGAACCAAGATGGCGGACATCGGAACATAACATGGGTAACAGGTTAGGGTTAGGCGATAATTTTTTTCCAATTTTCCTTATTTTAGTCCTATTATCAGTTCGAGGACTAGCCAAGAGCCTCCCGTAGTATTTATACCTAAAATTATGGCCTAACCCTAACCTAGTACACATATTACATTCCGATGTCCGCCATCTTGGTTCGCATACTTCGGGAGCCCCAAAAATTGCTATACTTGTTGCTAAATTTAATTAATTTAGTTAACTATTATTAAAGTGAAAGTGTCTATTTTTACAGGAAAATAAATTATTGTTTTTCCTGGTGAAAAATTTAATGGGTCACAGAGTTTTTGTGCATCGAATGAAAAAAGTTTGAGCTGACCTAGACTATTATTGTTTAAAAATTCAAATTCATTTCATATTGTACAACTTCTATATATTCAAAAAATAGGAATTTAATTATATTATTTATCTTGATTGTGATTCCAAAGATTTCAAAGGTGATTCCTTATGTTCAAACCATGTGAGAGGTAGGATATGATTTACATATTTATCCTGGGGGAGAGGAAAACCGATAAGACAGCTTATTCATATGGAGAATTACGGCTCCATGGAATGGGATTAGTTAGCCAGTTATTTGTCCTCAGATGCATGGACTTTATGGTGGAGGAAGCCATAATCGACCAGCGGTTATGTGAACTACCCTACGGCTAGGAGAAGTCCAGCAATCCGCTCACACATAATCAGAGGTGAGCGTATTACTAACGCTTAGCATAATGCACCACACCGTCGAGCCAGAGGCAAATATGTGTAAATGGACTTATCGCCCCCACCTCATACTCCTTCAATACCTTCACTCTGAAAATTTTTATTTGACTTTACCTGTACCAGTGAGGTTCCATTTAGCTTTGTTGATTCATCTGTAGGTTTTGAAAGTTCTTTTTTGGTTTCTGTTTCATCAGATCTAGGAATAAATATGATTCCTAGTAAAGGTGTTTGTAATATTAAGGGGAAACTAAGGAATTAAATCATAAATGTAAATTACATTTACAAAAATGAAGAATCTCCATTAACACTTCAACACTTGAACCTCTGCTTGATTGTATGATTGTACACAAAAGTTTCAGTTAACAAAAGATGCTTTGCACAAAAGTTATGTTTTCTCAGGAATATCTTTCAAATAAACTTGGTTCTATTTTATTTTGGATCGCCATGTATTTTGTATTTAGAAATGTTCAACAGTAATTAATTGATTTTATGATCTGGTAACTCGAAACTGTTTGTCGTTCTGCTTGTCGGATTTTGAATGCTTAAAATTTCTAAATTTGAATGTAATTTTTACACTTCATGTTACCGGCATTAAAAATACAGGTTGCATGACACTTAGGTCCAAAAAATGTACATATGTGTGTTATGTGGTTATGATAGTCATATGAGAGGTGTCAGAACCATATAAAACAGAAATCATGATAAAATCAATGAATTAATAAGAAAGTATTTTCTCAAATCCCCGTCTGTATCTGCAATTAACTTTGGTTAACATAACACAAACACAAGTGACCTAATACTAAAGGTATTTATTAAAGTTTCGATTACTCATGTCATTTCAAGTGTGTTGTGAATAACTACTTACTGCCAACTGATAACTAGTATTAGTATATATACTATAACTAGTACTGATAACTACTACTGTTTGATGATTAGGTACATTTTTTCTATGATTCATTGGTAACTAGGTTGACCCAACCAAGCTAACCCTATGTTAATGATGATACATATTTATTGGAATTTGCATAAATAGAAGAATATTTTCAAAAAGTCTTTATAAATACATTTTCCCCTATGGAATTTTAAATATTCGAATAGTAAGTCATGTTTAAGGCCACATCAAGTGTGTTGTAAACTGCGCAATAACTACTTATACAGTACTGTTAAATGATTGGGTAAATTTTCTACAATTCATTGGTTATTACATTAGCTCAGCTAAGAAACGGCTGCCTTATAAGTTGATGAGGTGCCACTTTGGTATGCAATCTGACCTGCTTAATATGATTTCAATGGCAAATCAAAGTGACCATACTAAATTGTAAATTGTGGTGCCACTTTGGTATGCGCTTAATCTCATAAACACATTCTCATGGTATTTAGTTCCTAACCCTAACATCGTTGGGTCAGGGTTAGGTTAATACACAACCGTTAAGATCGAATACCAAAGGATCAGATAATATCGCATATTTAATAATATGCATTTGACATAGATGAATATTTCCAAAATTAATTAAACAATTTGGTATTCCAGCTAAACTTTGAAATACTTTTTTTTCAACCAGGGAATTTTTAAATTTTCGAATAGTAAGTCATGCTTAAGTCCAAGTAATCAAGTCAAGTGCATTGCAAACTGCACAATAATTACTTATATAATACTATTTAGCGATTATATACATTTGGTTAAGAAGTTGACTCAAGTGAGAAAAGGCTGTATTATTAGTTAATATAATAACATAGTTGTAGGATGCGTTTGCCACATATGTACCACATATGTTCCGTATGTATAGGTTCAAAAAGTCTTCATAACAAATACATCGGTGAAGCACTGGCCGGGATGGCTAAAGGTAAACAATCTGGTATTCCAGCTGATTTCTGAAATATTATTTTCAATTATGGGATTTTAAATATTCGAATAGTAAGTCATGCTCATCCAAGTAATTAAGTCAAGTGCATTGCAAACTGCACAATAATTAGTTATATGATACTGTTTAGCTATTATATACACTTTAAAAAGTTTTTGGTTAAAAAGTTGACTCAAGTGAGAAAAGGTTGTATTATTAGTTAATTTTATAACATAGTTGATGGGATGCGCTTGCCATACATGAATAGGTTCAAAAAGTCTTTACAATAAATACATTTGTGAAGCACTGGCAGGGATAGCCAATGCAATTAATTTGATAAATTTATAATAATATCTTCAATTATGGAATTTCAATTATTCGATTATCAAATAGTCATGCTTAATAACTCCAAGTAATTAGCGGGAAGTCAAGTGCGTTGTGAACTAGGCAATAACTACTTATGATATACTGTTAAAAATTTTTAGTAAATTATCTGCAAATTATCAGTAATTGTAATAGCTTACTGATGAAGCAAGAATACCTACTTATGAAATACTGTTGACAATTTAGTAAATTATCTATACTATAACATTAATTATTTTATTATATCTGGGTTATCCGATAAGTGGCTATTTCTTTAAAGGTATAACATTATGCTGCACAAATGTGCAAGACGTGAAAAATATAAAATTATAAAATTTATATATATATATATATTCATACTATGGGAAATTGAGTAAATTTACTAGAAATTCTGTGTTGACCGGATTTTCAAAAAATGCATATCAACAACACGGCGAAGTTCTTGAAAAATTTTTGATAATATTGTTGAATATTTAAGTTATATAAATGAGAATAAATGTCCTATTTGGTAGAAAAAGCAATAGAAATATTGTATGAATAAATAAATATTATGTTACTTGTGAAAGAAAAAATATAAGGGCATTCTATAGCCAATAATAAAATTGAATCTTGGAAAAATTATTAACTTAGAAAAACGATTGATTGAAAAACTAACATTGTATGCATGGGAATTACCATTCTCTTGAGTGGAACAAGTCAAACCCTTTTGGGGCAAACGATATTGTAAGAAACATGTATTATGTTGGTTGCAAAAGCCTGTAAATATCTTTAAATGTCTAAAGGGCATTTTTATAGCGCATAATATGTAATTGACCTTAAAAGCTAATGGTTGAAATGCTCTTATCAGAGTAAGGAGCACGAATAGTCCATAAACTAATCCTTTGATTGCTACATTTAGCTGCCAATTAGAATGGATTAAGTTTATAACACTACCTGCTTCTGTTAGGTTCAACGATTGAAATGGACAAAATAGAACAACTTAATTTTCTGAAAACATTCTGGAAATGTATTTTAGAAAATAGATACTTAAAATGGTGACCGTACATTTGAACCCACGTACATTTGAACCCATGCGTATATCCACGGGTTCAATCTATAATCGGGTGCTAAAACCCATGGGTTAGGGTTAGTATGGGTTGAAATATCCGTGAAACAAAAAAAATTCCATAGGTGCAATAGCATACAGGTGCAATTGTCATGGGTTCAGGTTTTTTGGGAAACTAAATAAAAATGAATAATGTTATTGGACAAAAAAATAGACTTCGTTTAACTTGTGGCAGTGTGAAAAAAACAACGAAACGAAACAACATATTGTGATGGACAATCTGGAATAATTTATTGTTATGAATACATTCTGGAAATGTGTTGTAGTAAATACATATTATGTTACCTACACAAAATGCTTGATGTCAGGTTTTTTGATAAACTGACTAAAAATGAATTGTTTTACCGTAAAAATGTGTTATTGGACAAAAAATACTTCTGACAGTGTGAAAAAACAAAACAAAACGAAACAATGTTATGTGATGGACAAAATGAAATAATTTAATACTATGAATACATTCTCTAAATGTATTCTAGAAAATAAATATTATGTTCACTACACTAGCTTCTTGTAAGGTATTTGATAAATGATATAATAACTAATTGAATTATTAGTCATTGGCCAAAAAATAACTGCTTTCAACTTTGGAAAAATTGGAAATTGAACAAAACAATGTTTATCTAAACTGATTTCTATGAATTTACAATGCTTCGTGCTCAATTGAACATTTAAAATCAATTCCATTTTTTACAATGGTTTCTGTGAACCTTTCTGTTAAGCAATATACAATTTGGAATATATTCAATATTCAAAAATAGGTGCTCCCGAAGTATGCGAACCAAGATGGCGGACATCGGAACGTAACATGGGTAACAGGTTAGGATTAGGCGATAATTTTTTTCCAATTTTCCTTATTTTAGTCCTATTATCAGTTCGAAGACTAGCCAAGAACCTAGTATTTATACCTAAAATTATGGCCTAACCCTAACCTAGTACACATATTACATTCCGATGTCCGCCATCTTGGTTCGCATACTTCGGGAGCCCCCAAAAATATTATCCTGAATCTAGCAGCACACTACACCTGTACCTTAGTGTCTGTGTATGAATGACAGAATTAGGACACATCTCAGGTTTAAATTCCATGACCGACATTTTACCCAAAATGTAAGTAAATTAGGTCAGCAATGCCAAAAAGATTCCCATCTTTTTAAAAATAGTATTTCCTTGCATGCCCTTGGCATCTTGCCTGACCCTCCAGAAGTGTGTGTACCAATATGGGAGGTAACTACTTTTGTTTGCCTACTTAATATCAAGTTGTCTAAAAGGGACCGAAGACTATGGGCAGGGGGTAACACAGACAGCCCCTGAACTCGTAATATAACTAAAATAAGAAAAATCTGAATAAAATTATGGCTTAACCGTGAGCTGATGCACACACTACAGGAGTACCCCTTGTCCAGTGCCTTGTTGAGAGCAAGAGGCATTAACAAGCACAAAATAAAAAATTATCTAACAGTACTCACCCTCCTTTTCCAGGCATTTTTCTTTATTGATTCAGAAATGTCAAGAACAAATTTAAAAGCAATTACATATATTGATTGATGCTGTAATCAGAGATAACCATTATGTCCCTATTATTGATCTGTTTAAAGAAAAAAATATTATTGTCATTATTTATTTTAAATTCAAAGTCAGATATGTAATTTATCTACGAGTTTTGTTATTTAGAAATAACATTTTGCTGCAACAACAATTCCTCGGTAACAACCTGTACACAACTACCGTATCACATCTTTATAGAGCAATATTTAAAAACAAACTTGCACAGACACCTATTCTAAATTTCAATGAGAAGTTGATGATCCATTATTAATAAAAATCGCTCAGTACCAAAAGTATTTTGTCATACCGTGTTTGTTCTCTGCCATGGCTTAAGAATATACTGGGCACAAGAAGCCAGCAATATACAAGAAACTACTTTGCATTTGAAGGGGATAAAATCGTTCCACTCACACACTGCTTATCTAATTTTCATTCCACACTATGTGAGAGAATTATACCAGAATTTTTTTTTTTTCACACTTGACATTTTTCTTTTGATTTCAGAGTAACTGATATGATAGAAATCATGCTAAGCTTTAGGAATACTCTCGCCACTGCACCTCTGATCACCCTGCATGGGTTCGTAGGTTAGGGTGGTTCAGTTAACCGTTGATCTGTTACGACATCCTCCATCATCAAGTTCATCTGAAAAGAAATAACTGACAAACTAATCTCATACCCAACATGGACTGGTAACCGGACGAGAGGCTGTGGTTCACCATGGTACTAAGCCATATTATCATCTTTCAACTCCCCATGGATAAATATGTAAATCCTATCCTATCACCAAATTTTTATCACGCTAACAACACATTAGTGCAACAGTCACTGTTCACACCCTTTGCTAAAAGGCTTAACTAGCGCACCTGCTTAAGTAAATATACAACACAATAATCAATGCAATATCCCATGTTATTATATTTCACCTAATTTAGGAGGATAATCCTATTGCTTATTTATTCATACATGCCAATATTAATTATTTATTCTTATTCAATAATAACATATTGTATTACTAGCACACAATCGTGACTGGCTTTAATTTTATTGGTTATGTAAGCCTAATTTATGCACATGAAGATGTATGTGTGCAGTAAGGCTTGTTTTTATATAAAAATGCTAAAATTTCAGTATTCATTGAATTAAAAAAAATAGAGGAACTACATGCACCACTGACATATTTATGGCACTACCAGCACACACAGCGTGCTTGATTCACTTTTATTGGTCATGTAAGCCAAATTCACGCACATGAAAATGTGTACGATTTGTGAGGCATGTTTTTTTCAAATTTGTCTATTCATTTAATTTTGAGAAAACTACATGCAACCCACTCTCCCTCACTTTTGAAGCTGCATGTGCATTTATTTAGATCGACAGTGTGGCGCATTGTGCTAAGCGTTAGGAATATGCTCACCGCTGCGCGTCTGATTACCCTGAGTGGGTTCACAGGTTCGAATCCAATGAGAAGATAGTCATGCGCAGGAGTATTGCTGAACTTAATTTAATTGTATTGATTATGTAAGATACGACTTGCAAAGCCTATTTTTTTTTTCAAATTTGTCCATTTATTTAATTTTGAGAAAACTTAAAAGAGCAACAAACTACCACGCACACTTTTAAAATTGCATCAGCATTTAACAGTGCTATAAATATGTCAGTAATATAATGCATTACCAGTATACACAGTGTGCTTGATTAAATTTTCTTGGCCTAGTTTATACACATGAAAATGTGTATATGCAGTAGGGCTTTTTTTATATAGAAAATGAATTAGAAAAAAACTACTGGCAACCACTAACAGTTGGAGCATCTACCAGTTTTGCAAATAAGTCAGTAATTGACTGGACTTGACCAAATGAGACTGCTTTCTCCATTCCATACACCCACATACCTGAGGCTTCGGCCAAAGTATTTTAATTTGCAATGGCAGCAAAGCTAAGTCTAACTCATCAATCAATAGGCCGTCTCATCCCCAAAATTATTTTTACATTCATACTTTACACAGTCTCGTGCATTATAGTCGGGTCAAATATTAAACTTAACATTTAGTGAACTTCTTTTCTCCTAAATATTGTTTGTTTCTGTTTGGTTTTCCTTCATTTATTATCAGAAACTGTGACTTATTTGGGGTATTCTGAGGGTTAAAATCATGTGGATTTTAGTCGCTTCAGACGTGTGTGTACCAATATGGAGGTAACTAATTTTGTTTCCCTACTTTACATCAAGTTGTGTAAAGGGACTGAAATCTATGGGCAGGGCTAACACAGACAGTCCCAGAACTCGTAAAAAAACTAAAATATTCTCAGTTCAACCGGAAAGCTTAAATGACCGATCATAGGAGTGGTTTAAATAGCGGGGAGTGTTATGAGAATGGGGGTTAGTTGAATTGCTAAAAGATTCATAAAATTAAAAAGCCATTAATGTATAAACTGGTGAAACATGGGTTGTAACTAATAGTAGAGACTATTGCTCAAATATGTGGAAAATGCAAAAGCAGTGTTCCCAAGGATTAAATTGAAAAAGCAAAATTTGGGGTGAAACATTGTGACTTTCAAATAAAAATTGGAAGTAACGCCCTTCTAACCCCTTTATCCATGTTCAAGCACTTACATTTTAAAAAACGACACACCCAGCAGTAATGGAGAATGTAATGTGTATTAAACTGCTACCTCCTATTTCTGATACATGTGTGTTCATTGTAACAAATATGCTTGAACGAGATCGTATTGAAACAATGAAAACATTTTTCACTATCACATACTTGGCCACAATAAAAACAGAATTGGACAGAATCTAGTCCCGAGTGATTCAGAGATTCAGATATTTTATTTCCGTCGTGCATAAAATATTGTACCGACACAAGTAATAAAAAAAACGGTATAAATAATATCAATTGAAATAAAGAGATATACAATATTTCAGCACTTGATGCGGGGCGGCGAAAGACTACCAGAGTCATCGTGTTAGCGACACTGTGTTTGCTGAGTTCAGCAGCAGATAAGCAGATAACGTTAAATAAAATGAACTACCTAACTATTTTTCAACAAAATTGAGAATACAATTTGGCAAAAATAAATCAAATCGTGAGAGTCAGGAGATTAGTGATTAGAGAAATCAATTTAGCTTATTAACGTCATGCTCAGATGAGCGCAAAAAACAAACAATATTCTGCCGTATTATCATCCAGTTTTGTTTACAATTTGCTAATATGAGAAATCCTAACCTTCAGAATGAGAACAAAATTGCTTTTTTGAACATTTCTTTCTATTTATACTTGACCACAACAAAACAGAAATCGGACAGAATCTAATCGTGATTGAATAAACAATATTCTGCTGCATTTTAATCCAGTTGTGTTCCATACTTGGACCCCAATAAAAGCAGAATTGGACAGAATCTATTTCGGGTTGAATAAATAATATTCTGCTGCATTATTACAGAGTTCCGCTTGAATTTTGTTAATAATAAAAATCTGGATCTCAGCCTAAGGTGACATGGATGTTTTGTATTTTGATCACGTTATTGATAAAGGGTTCACTGGTAATACGCAAATCAAAAATATTGGGGTTTCTTGAAAAGTTCATTGGCAAGCTGAAGTAAACATAAACAATAAAAATTTGGGAGATTCGCTGACACTAGAAAGAGTAATAAGGTGGTTTTGTATTCTGAAATTCAAATTTGGATTTCTTATTAAGCGTTTTCACACTCTCTTCATTCCATGCATCTGAAACAACGTGTACGTGGCTAACTAATCCCATACCCATGGCATAGATTGGTAACTGGATGATAGGTCGTGGTTTGCCATATGATTAAGCCGTCTTATCGACTTTCCTTTCTCTCGGGATAAATATGTAAATCCTATCCTATCTAATCTAACCAATATGGACTAGTAACTGGACGAGAGGCCGCGGTTCACCATATATCTCAGGAAATAGCGATGAATAGTTGTGCATAGCCTTGTTCAGAGTCAAAATGTCTTGTAAAAAATGTACCATGTCCCATGTGTCCCGAGTAATATAATAATATATATCAAATAACACTGAACAGAAAAATAGGAAAGGTGGACAAAACCATAAAAAGTTCATAATTTTAGTTTACTATATTCAATAATTTTGATTTTCCATTTCAAAACGATGACATTCTCCAAATAATTTGGCATTTTCAATTATTATTAACAATTTATTTCGTTTTTTTTGTGAGCAATCTTTATGCATGAAAGTTTTATGAAACAAAAATTAACATAATGCGGCCACATCTTGTTTGATGTCTTGCCCACTTTGCCAGATTTCTATCCTGTGATGTTATTTTTTTCCTAGGGCATAGTTCAAAATGAATTATTCGTATTATATAACTATAAATGTCTACCCATCTATCTATCCATCTAACAGGGAATATTTGCTGAAGGCTTATAACCCAATGGAATTCACTATCAATCATCATTATGATATACTATATGGGCCTATTAGCTACTATTATGTTTACACACTCAATTCTTGTTTTCAACGAAAAGCCTCTTGGAAAGGTTAAAATGTGATTTTCTTCATGAACTTTTTCTAAATTTATTTCTATTTTTCATATTTTTGGTTATTTTCTGAAAATATGATTATATTATTATTTAAAAATACCTTTTTAGAATGTATTCGAAATAGCAAAATATTTTGTTTCAGCCATCCCTGATGTAAACACAATAATTTCAACACAAATTAAACTCACAAAACATCATGAAACTATGCAATATTCATATTTTCAAAATAAAATCAGTTAATTATGTGCTCAGACCAGGGCATCTTTAATATTGATTATTAAAAAATATATTAAATTTCATCTATTGAATTCTTTATATTATGAATAATTTAGAACTCTGTCTTCTTAAATAATTATCATTTATAGTTATGGAACTGGTAGAAGACAGATAAAGAACATCGATGTTCTCTACTGATTACTAAGTAAAGAAAGCAAAAAAACGTAGCAACTCCACCTATCAAAAACTACTTGTCCAAAGCCTTTTTCCTTCTCTTATAAAATTCAGCTCAGTAAAT